CACACACACACACACACACACACACACACACACACACACACACACACACAAACATCATATCGGTTCGAATGGTCCAGAGAAAGTACCTCGATAGTTACGATAATTATTGGTCTCTAGCAACGTTCACATCTCAGTATGGTGCACCAACCAGCGTCAGTGGCTTTCTCCGATCAGCCGCATTGAGAACACTGCTTGTGGTAAGCCGGTCTGCTGTCGACGGGCTCACTAACACACCTGATCTAATGGGGTTTGAAACTCAGAGTCCCATTATCGTGGTTATCGGGTTCCTTCCCATAAGCTGACAAGACAAATTCATTCACGATTTGACTCCCGACATTGATTGAAGGACTTTGCAATGCATGGTCTAACTCCACCGGTCGTGTTGCGTATCAACAGTAAAATACTCATGCCTTGAATATAACCGGTGCTGTCTAACCCATTCACTCAAATGACTGCAATCGGATAGTTTATCTAAACCGACACTGTCTTCCATCCTAATGGTACCAAGTCACACCAAAAAACATGTCATGCATATGTTGGTAGGTGTGAGATATAACACAACGATGACAAATGTTTTATCCGAGAATCAGCTTTGGAAACTCACGTGTGAATTGGACGTTCGTTCTTTCTGCTCAAAGAAGCGAGTCTGCAGCTTGACAACATCATCTGTAGAGCCAAAGGTACCAGCAATGGCCTAAACAGTTTGGTGAGAAAAAACAAAAGGACGGTTAGTTTTGCAGCAGACACTACTAGATCAGGTCGCTTCTGTGTGAATGATAGAAAAGAATCGCCACAATGAACCAAGAAGTGGTCCGCAGGAACGTTGCATGCTGTACTAATCACACTTATCGACTGGTTAAAAGAACGAGTTCGACCACCTAACCGGAAGATGCTTAACTTTTCGGCTTCGACACCTGGCTCGGGAAAACTTAGTACGCTGGGAACATTGGGTGATGAGCAACCGTAGTCAACCTCAGGATGACAATTATTGACGCGCCAGTGCCGTGGCACAGAACAATGAAGAGTGAAGTGAACTCCACTCACCGCTACCATGCTTCGTACAAAATGAGCGAGAACGAGCAACAGGGGGATTGGAACTAGTTAGAGGAAATTTATTCTTTATAGAAAACAACAAAATAGTGCATACATACTTTTTAAAGTAATTTGACCCGATAACACCGATTATCTTATTTATTTATATTCCACACGCATCAGAGGCAAGACTGTGTGCCAAACAATAACAGAATCTGTATGAAAAACAAAAACGTCTCATGATTTGTATGTAAGCCGAATACTGCCAGGTTTTCCCAGGCCAAAGCAGGTGAGTTTTCTTGAGGAATCCACAACCGAATCCTTTGGCTAGCCAATGCCTGACTCGTAAGGCAGCGGGGTGGTGTGGGGGAAACCACAACCCATCAAGAGCCGGTATTCAGTTCGTCGGATCATACGCCCTTCGGACGAGGTCAAACATCCAAGGTCCCCAATACTCCTCGACGCCCAATTGAGATGGGGACCGTTG